CACTGTTGGAACATGACAGGGTACACTGTTGGAACATGACAGGGTACACTGTTGGAACATGGCAGGGTACAGTGTTGGAACATGGCAGGGTACACTGTTGGAACATGACAGGGTACACTGTTGGAACATTGCAGGGAACTGCACTACAATTCTTTGCTTGTTCATATAAACAATCATTTTAAAACGTTAATGAACATATCCTAAAATTTATAGTATAAAATTAGGTATTTATCTATTTCAAAAATTTTTTTAATGATGTGCTGATCTAAGAATTTTTTTAACTTAGATTTAAAATGATATGTTGTACATTATAAATGTTCTGTTCAGAAATGCATCTCTAAACCAGCATGTGATTCTATCTATCTATCTATTGTCTTCTTCACTTTTACCGGGTTGCAGCCCAGTGTCGTGGTTTCAAATATTTGTTTCGTGCCTCTCGCGTGATTTGAGTGACAGTTTTCTGGATCTTCTGGCCGGATTCAGCTACTCCATCTATCCATTTTTTCCTGGGTCTTCCTCTGGCCTTTCTTCCCGATGTTCTATTGTAAAAGGCCTTATAGGCAATCTGATCCGGTTGCATTCTTACTAAATGACCAAACCACTTCATTCTCTGTTTTTCAATATGTTCCATGCATGCTCTTGTTCCAACTTCGTCTCTAATGCTGACGTTTGTGACTGTCTCTTCGTGTATTGTTGGTGACTCTTCGGAGACATCGCATTTCACACGTAGTTATTTTTTGCATATGTGATTTGTTCATTGTCCACGTATGGCACTGATAACATAACGTAGGGATGAAAATGCTGTTGATCATCCGTTGTTTGGCTGGTAACGAGATCTTTGGATGACGAAGAAGTGGGGCCAGTTGGTAGTTGACTGCACTGGCTTTTTTAACTCTAGCCTGTATCTCTTTATCGAGTCTTCCATCTTCTGTAAATATGCATCCTAAGTACTTGAATTCTTGAACTTGTTCTAATTGTATGTCATTAATCTTTATGCTTACATTACTGTGTTTCTTTACTATGGTCATTACTTCAGTTTTTGAGGTGTTTATTTTCATGTCAAATTTTGTACAGTTAGTGAGCAATGAATCAACATGTAGTTTTTGTTCTTCTTCTTGTAACAAACATTGGTCATCTGCAAAGAGAAGTTCATTTATAATATCTGTGTTTTGGTTTGACTCCTGTGCAATTTTATCCATATATGTGATGAAGAGTAGGGGTGATAGGACACATCCTTGTCGTACTCCTGATGTAATGGGGAACCAGTCTGTCATACCTTCCGTTGTTCTTACAGCGCTCTGGCTATTTTGATAGAGAGCCATTATGTTTCCCAATAATTGACCCGATACACCATATTCTTCAAGAATGTTCCATAGTTTATTTCTGTTAACCCTGTCAAAAGCCTTCTCTTGATCAATGAATATAAGATTCTGGTGTTTATTATATTCGATTGTCTGTTCACAAATTTGCCGAAGAGTAAATATTGCATCAGTGCAACTCTTTCATTTTCTAAATCCAAACTGATTGTTACTTAATTGAGGTTCAAATATCACTCTCGCTCTTCGTTCTAATATTTTTGCAAATATCTTTCCTACATGGCAGCAATTTGATTACATGATGTAAAAGACTTTTCCTCCAGTTCTAAAGCCCTTCTAAAAATTCCCACAGGGACTTGGATTTCAAAACCTGACAAAGTTTCAGTTTCACCAGACAGTTTCCCATCAAAGACAGCTGTTGTGGGCTCCCTTTCTCCTAAACTTTCTCCTAGACTTGTAGATAATGTTATACCACCATATTTCAAGGCCAGATTTGTACAAATGGCTTATCCGCACCTGTTACTGATGTGATTGATTTATTAATAACATTGCACAGTAATCTCTGAGAGTGCCTGATGTGATCATTGCAAGAATGTGTAATGTCAGGTGTTAGTACCTGCTCATTTACAAGTCCTGTGTGAGTGGCAAGACAGTGTCTGTTGTGAGAACTCCCTTAATGTAGACCAGACCAGTGGCACTAGGAAAAAGGAAATCCAAGAAAAACTCCTGAGATCAATTTTGATGTGAGCAGCCAAAGGTGCTGAACTAGATTTTATCCATTATTATCAAAAAGACTGCAAAGAATGGAATGGATGAAGACTGCAAGCCTGTGTTACCAGTACATTGCATGCATGATGATGATATTTGAATAAAATACTGTGTGTATTTTCTTGTCCCTTTTTTTTCAATACAGATACAATAATTTAACAAACAGAGCCAGGTGACCGGTCCAAAAGACCACCCTTTGTCAATTGCGTGTCACCTTTTGAACTTTAGACACACGGTAAACAAGGAAAGAGCATTCTGAATTTTTCATTCCTCATCCAATGGCACAGCACTAAGATTTCTTCAAGCCTTTATCTGTTACCTGCATCAAGAATTGTGTAAACAGAAAGACATGTTAGCGAGCCTGCACTTGCCCAATTGCTTTTGAGAGTTGCTGAACTTCAGTTACAAAGGATTCCCTTATCTGCTTCATTTATGTATCTGTTACTGTAGTATGCACCTGATGAGACACAGCGAAATATGCCAGGCTATAAATTGTGCAATCTATTATTGATGTCTTCTATGTTCACATAAATTTGTGCTAGTGAGACTTGGGATGAAAAAAAGAGTTAATGAATATAATTTAAACACAGAAAAATAAATGACAAAACATTCTTGTAAAATTCATACTGGTGGGAAACATTGTATGCAGATGAGCAAGAAGACAGTGATACAAGTGGGAGAATAGCATTAACTCTTTTGGTCTAAAGGAAGACAAGATATGTTCATTTATAACTGTGCTAGAGTTCTAACAGGCATGTGATGTGCTGATTATATATCTCTTTTTAATTTACCACTTAGCAGTGGGAAAACATGAATCAGCAATTCTGAATGGTTTTTTGGTTCTTTCTGTTCAATAACATGCATGCATGGTATTAGATTTATGATGATGTAGTTGACAGCACAAAATACAGTATATCTGTGAGCTTGAAGTGTTAGTTTTACAACAATACGGTTGCTGAACAACCTTCTTCATGCCCACAATGCAATTTATGGCTACAGAAGCCTCTGATTTAAATAAAACTGTGTGGTTGATCAGATTTATGTGGTCAGATGAAGAAAATAGTGAAGTAGACACTTGTTTCAGTCATTTAAAGAGTCAAGATTTGATGAAGACTGGCTCCATTATGTATTTTGGTTACCAAGTAATGGTACTCTGTGATGATGTTACAAAAATGTCTCTGGAAAGTTTTCCTTCAGCACAGTGACTGTATGAAGAACATTTTGTATTTTATTTTACTAACTTTTTCTAAACAATGACAACTGTTTATTTGCTAAAATGTAATTACCAACATAATTATTTGTTGTAGCAGTATTCTATAACATCCCCTGGTCGATTTTATGTATAATTTTTGTATGTTGTCCAGTAGCTCTATTAGTATATAGTCTTAGTCCTGTGATGCTTAACCCCCAGCTAGTTAAAAAGTTCAGAGGTGGACAAACAGTAATCTGAGAGTATATGTCCTGGGTCAGAAACAGAGTGTGAATCTACTGCAGCCAACTTTCACTGTGCAGATGGCACCTGAGTTACTGAGTTAATCAGACTCAGGTTTTAATAAATGGTGCATTACATGAAGGAGAGTAAGAAAAACACCCATTTCTATGCTTATTTTGCTAGTCCCATATTTTCACAGACAATCTGTACTGGACGATTGATGTGGTCAGTATCAAGTCAGCTGCCTTGACTTCTCAGCACATTTCCATCTCAAAATAAAAGCAAAGAAATAGTACGATACAGAGTGAGTCAGAAATACGGCTACACAATACAGTGTGTTTCCAGAAAGCAATTAGGCATTTTCCAAAGCACTGTTGATTACTATGCGATCTGAACAGTGACCAGTTTAAGACTGCAAAGTCTTTCGGTATCAGACAGTCGTTGCTTTAACATTTTCTAACTCAGTCTATGTATTTTAGAGCAACAGTTCTTGAGTCTCAGAGAAACTACAACTGTACCTGTGTGACACAGTATCAGTTTAAGTAGCTACTGCATGTAGATTAGAAACTTGACAGAGGAAGTTAGCCACAGTATAAAATGTTTAGATTATTCAATAAATGAAAGGTGAGTACTGAAAGATTAAAGGGAATCAGTATTGTCATACTGTTGTGTATTGTTAGTTTGGAGAGTTGCCTTTGCAATAATCTCATTTCTGTTGCCCTAACACTATCTGTGTTTACAAGCGTTACTGAATAAGTACATATATTTCTGACTCAGCCTGTATATGTTACTCAAATCGGATAAGTATTCTGTCAGTGTTAATCACCATATTAAGTTCAAATAAAAATACATTAAAACAAGCACATATAAAAAAAAAATCCAATTACAGAGTATTTATATTCTTTTGTTAAAAATAATGTTACATGTTAAATTATGCACAAAAAAAAAACATGTTTAATTACCCCTCATGGACTAAAACCTGAAGATTTGACACCCAGTGACAATTTTCAGATGCCCATCCAAAAAGAAACATACATTGATGATCTGATTAATACTTTTTTTTTATGAAAAGGGACATTTTGAGAAGGAACACAAAACACTTTTAACATTTTCAACAGATAATGAACAATTTAATAAATGGTGTCCTTGGAAAGTTTAAAAAAAAAATTCACAGCCCAAACTGTATAATGGACACTGACCATAAACTCTCTGGTCAATACCTGTTGTTTTTTCTCTCCAGAAAAAAAAAATAGGAAAATACATGAGAAACTAAATCTGTTTAAATATGGTAATGGTTAAGATCTTGAAACAAGGACACTGATTCTGGCGATTACAAACACCAATGACTACAGCAACAATTGCAGCCATGGTGTTGTAACAGCACTGTGGTCTTTGGATGAGGTCCCAGCTGTGGTCTTTGGCTGAGGTCCCAGCTGTGGTCTTTGGCTGAGGTCCCAGCTGTGGCCGCCTGTCTTCCTGCAAGGTTACAATTTCCTAGTGACTGCAGATGGCAGTACATCAGTCTGGTGAGGCACATACTTACTGTAAACATATACAGCAATCATAACTAGAGCAGCTCCAATGGTAAACTGAATCGACAGATGGAAGTCAAAGAAGTACATTGATGCCACACATGATACAATAATGGCTGCTGAGGTAGCAAAACCTTTCAATATATTGTCAGCATATTTTACAACAACTGCAACAAGAAGCCCACCAAATGACTGCAGGCAGACAACAAACCAGACCACACCATCATAGCCATTGAAGAATCCCTTTTCATGAACTTTAGCTCCATCTTTGATGAACATGGTGATGATTCCAATCAGAATACCTCAAGAAACCCAGCTGGACATTCCTCAACCACACAGACTGTCTGGTTCCCTTTAGGATTTTCTCAAAGTAGACACCAGCAAACCCAGACATGAAGCTGGAGATTATAACTGCTGTGAGGCCCTTGACTGGGCTCTGCTCTACAACTAAACCTAACTTGGTGACATTGTCTGGCTGCATCTGGACAATGGCAACACCCAAAAAGAGAATCACCAAAGACATCCACTGTAGTCTACTGAGTAATTTCTTCAGCATCACAACAGAGAAAATGGCCGTTGTTAAAATCTTCAGCTGATATGTGACCTAGAAAAAAGTTAAAATAAGCATAAATCAACTATGGCTTCAATCTGCAAAAACACTAGACAATCAAATCTGGCGAGCACTTTCTCAAGTCATTCAGTAGCAAGCAGTTTGCCTTGAAAGTATTCTCAGATTATATGATTATTTTACCTGGTAGTGCCCTATCTCATTGTTACGCTAACCAACTCAGTCCCAAATGTTTCCATAACACCAGTCTCATGGATGTTACTATTAGTTCATTCAAACCAAAGCAGTTATTAACCAAAATAACAACTTCCCAGGACAAACAGAGTTGATATAAAACCTAACAGGCACTCACATTTTGTTTCTCAGCATCAAATCCTGTAAGTAGAGTTTTTAATATACCATTTCAGAAAGCTATTTTTATAACTAGCCAAACACACACAATGATTTCTACTATGTTTCCACCACTAAAAAAGAGATTGATTTATACAACATAAACATTTCACAGTTGAGGGTATTTATATACTCAAATTTATCCTTGATAGTGGCCAACTATGGTCTTCTGCACAAAATTCCTAATTGCTGAAGGACTGTCTATGAGTTATATTTTTGAGTTACTTAAGCAACTTCAATGGGGGGGGTTATGGTTTCTGACATCTTAAACATGTTCTATGTGAGGTATCACTTCCAACAACTCAAACATATTTTATGTGAGATATCACTTAAAACAACTCAAAACATCTTTTATGTGGGGTATGACTTCTAACAAGTCAAACATCTTTCATGTGAGATATCACTTAAAACAACTCAAAACATCTTTTATGTGGGGTATGACTTCTAACAACTCAAACATCTTTCATGTGAGATATCACTTAAAACAACTCAAACATCTTTCATGTGAGGTATGACTTCTAACAACTGTTCATGTGTATATCACTTTGAAACAACTCAAACATCTTTCATGTGAGGTATGACTTCTAACAACTCGAACATCTTTCATGTGAGATATCACTTAAAACAACTCCAACATCTTTCATGTGTAGTATGACTTCCAACCACTAAAACATCTTTCATGTGAGGTATGACTTCCAACAACTTAAATATCTTTTATGTGAGGTATGTCTTCCAACAACTCAAACATCTTTCATTTGAGGTACCACTTCCAAATACTGGAGCTGTGCTATTCTTAAAGTTTTGCCATCTTGTGATAATGAAAGAGATGAAATGAAGCCTTATTCTAATGCTCAATTTACTGCCTTGTGATAATGGAAGTACTGATGCACTTATCAAAGCCTGATATTAATTCATTTAAACACTGATCAAATGTAGCATCACATGTGGTCGAAGAGGAACCTTGGAATGCTCTTTGGCAATATTTGCTGATGTAGTGTAGACATGTACCATTCTGTCTTGAGTGATGATTATGCCAGTTCTAGGTAATCAAATCTATGAGCCTGCATCTCTCAACAGAATTTGTGAACATTAACACAACAAAGAACACTTGCCTGGAATGTAGCAGCATCTAAGTTTGAAACAGCGATGTACAACAGATTGTTCTGAAGCACATATATCAAGGATGGTACTGAAACTTTAATGCAGTCTACAGGTTCAAGAATGATATCAGCATACAACAGTTTCAGCCACCTTCGGACACTTCCTTCCTGCAAGCAAAATGATGTAATAAGACATTCATTAGATGTTAATCATTTCAGTGAAGTAAAAGAAAGAAGAGGTTCTGTTTCTGCAAACTTACCTGGGGAGTCAAGAAGTAAAGAGCTTTAAGTTTACCTCTTACTTAAACAGATCAGTCAAAAGGCAGCCCATGACAGCAGATACTACTGTCAGGGTATGAGGTGTTAGACCTTCATAGATTCTAGGCCACTAAAACAAGGTGGGGTGGCCAGTTCCCTAAATCATCACTTTTCTTTCTTAGATTAATTACCAGCTTTGTCTGATAGCATTTTTATGAGGTTAGGTCAACCCAAGAACTGTACTGGTCAGCCACTTATTGGACCAAATCCAAACCTCTGACGACCAGGAAGACAGTGGTTGATCATACAGACTGATGCAAGGATAACAAGAGAGAAGACAGTGGTTGATCATACAGACTGATGCAAGGATAACAAGAGAGAAGACAGTGGTTGATCATACAGACTGATGCAAGGATAAAAAGAGAGAAGACAGTGGTTGATCATACAGACTGATGCAAGGATAACAAGAGAGAAGACAGTGGTTGATCATACAGACTGATGCAAGGATAACAAGAGAGAAGACAGTGGTTGATCATACAGACTGATGCAAGGATAACAAGAGAGAAGACAGTGGTTGATCATACAGACTGATGCAAGGATAACAAGAGAGAAGACAGTGGTTGATCATACAGACTGATGCAAGGATAACAAGAGAGAAGACAGTGGTTGATCATACAGACTGATGCAAGGATAACAAGAGAGAAGACAGTGGTTGATCATACAGACTGATGCAAGGATAACAAGAGAGAAGACAGTGGTTGATCATACAGACTGATGCAAGGATAACAAGAGAGAAGACAGTGGTTGATCATACAGACTGATGCAAGGATAATAAGAGAAGACAGTGGTTGATCATACACTTTTCGAGATGTAGACAGATGGTTCAGTCAAGAGAGATAACAGAGAGAAGACACTGGTTGATCATACAGACTGATGCAAGGATAACAAGAGAGAAGACAGTGGTTGATCATACAGACTGATGCCCAAATGGTTTAAAAATCATACAGACCATGCTGTACTGATGCAACAAGAGAAGAAGACACTGGTTGATCATACAGACTGATGCAAGGATAACAGCACTTCTAAAGACAGTGGTTGATCATACAGACTGATGCAAGGATAACAAGAAGAAGACATCATACAGACTGATGCAAGGATAGCAAATAGACAGTGGTTGATCATACAGACTGATGCAAGGATAACAAGAGAGAAGACACTGGTTGATCATACAGACTGATGCAAGGATAACAAGAGAAAAGACACTGGTTGATCATACAGACTGATGCAAGGATAACAAGAGAGAAGACACTGGTTGATCATACAGACTGATGCAAGGATAACAAGAGAGAAGACACTGGTTGATCATACAGACTGATGCAAGGATAACAAGAGAGAAGACAGTGGTTGATCATACAGACTGATGCAAGGATAACAAGAGAGAAGACAGTGGTTGATCATACAGACTGATGCAAGGATAACAAGAGAGATTGATCATACAGACTGATGCAAGGATAACAAGAGAGACAGTGGTACAGACTGATGCAAGGATAACAAGAGAGAAGACAGTGGTTGAACATACAGACTGATGCAAGGATAACAAGAGAAAGACAGTGGTTGATCATACAGACTGATGCAAGGATAACAAAGAGAAGACAGTGGTTGATCATACAGACTGATGCAAGGATAACAAGAGAGAAGACAGTGGTTGATCATACAGACTGATGCAAGGATAAACAAGAGAGAAGACAGTGGTTGATCATACAGACTGATGCAAGGATAACAAGAGAGAAGACAGTGGTTGATCATACAGACTATGCAAGGATAACAGAGAGAAGACAGTGGTTGATCATACAGACTGATGGGATACACGAGACAGACAGATTTCGCCAACAGACTGATGCAAGGATACCAAGAGAGAAGACAGTGGTTGGTTTTAACAAAGAGAAGGACAGTGGTTGTACAGACTGATGCAAGGATAACAAGAGAGAAACAGTGGTTGATCATACAGACTGATGCAAGGATAACACGAGAAGACAGTGTTGATCATACAGACTGATGCAATGACCCGAAAAGCTGAGACATGTGCTCCAACACTGTCAACTGTAACAAGAGAGAAACAGAGACGCAATCTGGCCTGATGCAAGGATAACATGAAGACAAAACTGTTGATGGTACACTGATGAGGATATGGATTGCACAGTAGCTTTCATAAAGGACTACCGATAACTCCTGATATAAGTGGTCTGACATAACTGATGCAAGGAAGAAGAAGAAGACTTTGCGATATATCTAAGTATTAAACAAACCAAACCAGAAGCAGATTCAATTGTACATTGCTGTGTCATTTATTTGGAGGAATGATGTTTATTAGCAGTGTTATATTTTTCTTGTTTCCTTCTTTCTTCCTAAATATTGTGTAACTGTTAGCCTAAGGACAGTTAATATAATGTGCAAAAACTATGCAATTTTTTTTAAAATTATTATTTCTGTCATTAAAATTTTCTTGCAGTCAATAAGGAAGAAAACAGATGCTTTTGAGCTGAAATGCTATAGAAAGATTCTCCAGGTCCAAGTAGAGAAAAGAGACAGAAAAAAAGTCAAACATGGTGAGCCATGACCAGGTCCAAGTAGAGAACACAGACAGAAAAAAAGTCAAACATGGTGAGCCATGACCAGGTCCAAGTAGAGAACACAGACAGAAAAAAAGTCAAACATGGTGAGCCATGACCAGGTCCAAGTAGAGAGCACAGACAGAAAAAAGTCAAACATGGTGAGCCATGACCAGGTCCAAGTAGAGAACACAGACAGAAAAAAAGTCAAACATGGTGAGCCATGACCAGGTCCAAGTAGAGAGCACAGACAGAAAAATTTCAAACAAGGTGATCCATGACCAGGTCCAAGTAGAGAGCACAGACAGAAAATTTTCAAACATGGTGAGCCTTGACTAGGTCCAGGTAGAGAACAGAGACAGAAACATTTCAAACATGGTGAGCCATGACCAGGTCCAAGTAGAGAACTGAGACAGAAAAAATGTCAAACATGGTGAGCCATGACCAGGTCCAAGTAGAGAACTGAGACAGAAAAAAAAAAAAAAAAACAGAAAGAGAAAAATCAAGAATTTCAGATTCCTGAAGTTTGACTGGAAAGGGACTCTCCTTTCAAACAATAGCATTCCCCTCCTCCTCAGCACCATCCTAGCAGGCACTCGACTTTTCTCCGCAAAGTAAAATGAGGTTAAATTTCCATTTATTTCATCTGTTTTATATTTATGTATTTAAGTGTGAAGCAATGTTCAAATTACTATATACAACTCCACCCATGTCCAATAAACCAATAATAGGATTTTTTTTTTTTTACATGGGAACAGATTAATCATTCTCCATTTATTTTTCATGAGAAAATTCATTTGGTACATATTGTGTTTGGTATACATCCAAGGATCTGGAACAGATAAAGGCCATATATTAAGGTACTGCTGTATACTGGATTCTTACCTGGATTAGGATGAGGATAAGGCAGGCAACTAACTTTAAAGCCTCGGAAACAATGACTGCTGTAGTTGCAACAAACATGTCACCCTCTCGTGTCCTAACATAGCGCATGACAAGAATCAGGACAGCATTCTGTAGTGTCAGCAAGACAAGGCTGCCATATTTGAAACATTCTGGAGTTTTCTGTGCCATGGGTTCTGTTCCTGGGGAAGAGGAGGGGAGGGAATTCAAGAAGGAACATAAACAGTCTACTACACAATTTATATAAGTAAAAAATAATTGTGTATTATGCTGCAATACTTGCCAATGTATGATCTTACCAGTTTATAATGTTGCAAGACTGTAGCCAATTTATGATCTCTCAATACTATAGCTAGTTTATGATGCTGCAATATCATAGCTGAATAGTAATGCTGCAACATTGTAGCCAGTTTACGATGTTGCAATACTAAAGCCATTTTATGGTGCTGCAATAGCATAACTGAATAGTGATGCTGCAACATTGTAGCCAGTTTATGCTGCTGGAATATCATAGCTGATTTATGATGTTGCACCACTGTAGCCAGTTTATGATACTGTAATAACACAGCTGGTTTATGATTTTGCAACACTGTAGCCAGCTTATGATGTTGCAACACTGTAGCCAGTTTATGATGTTCCAAACTATAGCTGAATAGTGATGCTGCAACACTGTAGCCAGTTTATAATGCTAAAATTTCATAGCTGGTTTATGATGTTCTTATGTTGTAGCCAGTCTATGATGCTGTAATATCATAGCTGGTTTGTGATGTTCCGATGTTGTAGCCAGTTTATTATGCTGTAATATCATAGCTGGTTTACTATGTTCCTATGATTGTAGCCAGTTTATGATGCTGTATTGTCATAGCTGGTTTATGTTTTTACGCTGTTTTCCAGTCTAGAGGTGATGTGATGTGGAAGTCAGGCGGAGTTGTACCCAGGAGTTCATAATAATTCTGTAGAGTCAGAACTCGAGTCGCCTTATCCCTGAGATAGGCTGAATGTATCTTTGAACCGAGGAGTTAGCTTCTAGATCAAACGAGAGCCAACATTCAGAATACCCCTGTCTCAGAGTAGCTGAGGATTTTAGGGAAATAATCCTGAAGTAAAGGTACGTGACAAAACTCTGTGGTGTCCAAATGAGGGCTTGGTAAGGAAGTCTTGATTTATCCATTCTAAGGGCGTGGCAGACATAGTTCCAGAGGCGTTTTCGTATAAAATTAGACACATACTCTTGCCTGGATTCTTGCCTTATTTGTGTATTGGTTAGGAAATCTGACCATTTGAAATTTAGTATTCTTCTAAGGCATTTATTTTCAAAACTGTCTAATTTATGTTGCACTGGTGGCCTATTTATGGTAGCCAATTTATGATTTTGCAATATTATTACAGCTTATATAACATTTTCCAGAAAAAAAAGAAAAACCAATATCAAAATTGATGAACACTAGTTGAGGCAGGTAAAGGATTTTAGATATCTGGGAAGAATCTTTTCAGAAGACGGAAGAATTGAATAAATAAATCCAAAAAGATACAATAAAGCCAACCAAGAGAGAGAGAGAGAGAGAGAGAGAGAGAGAGAGAGAGAGAGAGAGAGAGAGAGAGAGAGAGAGAGAGAGAGAGAGAGAGAGAGAGAGAGACCAAGCCTTCTCTTCTTCTTTTCTTCGCATTCACCAGCTGTAAACTCTGACAGAAAGTCCTGGCTATTTGTCTGTTTCTAGACTTAAGTCTTATTCTAGATTTTGTGTTTTGCATGCAGATCTATTTTACAAATCTGGCTTATCTCTATGCTGCTTGCCTCTCAGGCAGATGAACTCTGACTTCAAAATAATGATCAGAACATAAAAAGGCACACGCACTAAAAAATACCTGCCTCGATGAGAAACTGCCTTCTGATTATCTCACTTGTAGCTTAACTGCAACTAATCATATGACAGCCTCTCTACGACAATCAGCACTTGTCTGCATCAGCCAGGGACTTTGTGAGGCGAGCCATCTTGTTTTAGTGAAGAAAGTTAGACAAATTTCATTAGCAAACAATCCTATAGAAAAATTTCATTAGCAAACAATCCTACAACTATTACATGGATTTCATTGATTCATTATCTGAAACATACACTATGTTAATAATTCTGTATGTATGTACTATGTATGCATATGTTACCAGTAATACTTCAAAAGTGTAAACTGATAAGTGTTATTAAAGTTTCACCATAAATATAAAATAAAAAAGGTATACAAAGTTTGACTGTCACAAATATCACAACAGAAGACTGCGCAATCAGAAAGTTAAAATCAGTGCCTGATAATTTACCGGCGATCCTCTCAAGCATATTATAATATAAATACTTTCAGTAGAAAATCCATAATTTTATCATTGTTCTGTAATCATTGTAATGGTATACTTAAGTTCCACCAGGGTGGTTTGTGTTCAAATTCCCTATGAGGCAAGGATTTTATTAACCGTCCTATAGAAACTTAGAGAAGGGTAATATTTAACTCTTCGAGGCCCGAGCAATGCTGTGTGTGTTGACTAAGAAGTTCCGATTTGCTTAAACAACACTGCGTCGATCTTGTATCCTGTACATATTGATTAACATATGTCTCCGTATTCGTTTATGTTAGAAACTACCATTAGAGTATTTAGGGATAGTTACTCTATTTTACTTTGTAAACAAGTCTTTGTTCCCACACACTGGGCGCAGTCAGATCCAGTTCATTGCTAGCATGATTTTCAGACTGCGTTTTCTGATTTCACCTTCAAGTGGCCATGGTTACCAATGTTCTGAACACTAGCACAGGCCAAAAAATGGACTTTTTATGTGACTGAAGCTCTAAAACTGTCTCAGCCAGATGTTTTCTAATCATAAAAAATTTAAATTTTTTTTAAAAATGATTCAGACGCTATATTTACATCAATGGCAGTTGGGCCATTAGCTGTTAGTTCTGATGGGGTAAATCCAAAAGGACCCATTTCATTTGCAAAGGATGTGATAGTCACCCACATTTGCATCAAAAGGACTGTTTCAGAGAGTACCATACTCATTCTATGGCTAAAGTGCACTGCAATTAATTTTTTGTGTTGTGTGTATCAGACAATGAGTCCAATTTTATGCAATTGCTTTCTTTAAAATTTTGTTCAGCACTCCATGAAAACTTAAAGCCTCAGAGTGTGCAACTAACCCAAAAACGTATCGTAACTTTTGAATTTGTTAGAAAATTGAACTATAAAATCATATCTTTAAATAATATGGACATTCATTGTTCTTATGGTTGCAAAACTATGGTAAGTGAAGACTTTTTTTTCGGGGGGGGGGGGGGGGGGGGGGGGGGGGAATGTTGTTTGTTTGTAACATAACACCTGCTGAATTCTTTTGTCCTACTAACTATAACAGTATTAAACAAAAACATATCAGATTCAAAAGTAGATTTATTACTCTTGAAAAAAAAAATTGGCTCTCCTCCGAACGGCGTCATAATATTATGGCGGCCATAAAATATCCAAAAATATCCTTAAGGGGCTCAGTTCTATTAAAAATAGCAATATGTTACTTGCAGACTTGTTTCTGTGACTGTGCCTCACCGCCGACTGTATCCCCGTGCCGCTACGCACGGCGCCGATGATGGCTTAACTAGATGGCTGGGACTCACAAGCAGCAGCTACCGCATCTCCTGCAACTTCCTCCAATTAATCTGCTCGTGAGTCCCAGGCACCTAGTTAAGCTCCCCATCCGCGCCGCGCGTAGCATAGCGGCGCAGGGGATACACTCGGCAGTGAGTTTAATCGCATTTTGCGCATGCTGAAAACCATACCACTTTATCGGTCATTACTCGATACAGGTCGGCAGGTCTGACATCTACCGCTGCTAAATCCTCAATCGGAAGAACAGTATTGCTAATCTGCGTGGGAGCGCGTGGTATACCTGCCATATCGCTTTCATCGTCTGTAATGTCTCAACATTGTTAATGGTCGCTATTATCGTCTGCTAGTATCATCTGCAGACACGCTCGAAATTGTCAACGGTCGCTATTATTGTCGCTACTATAGTCTGCAATGTTGCGTCTGTTGAAATTGTCAAGTAATCCTAGTTTTGCCGCAATTTGTTCCTTGGCAGAAAGTCCACATTTTACATATGCCTAAGCCCCGTAAGGATATTTTTGGATATTTTATAGGCCACCATAATATTATGACACCGTTCAGAGGAGAGCCAAAAAATTAATGTATATATATATATATATATATATATATATATATATATATATATATATATATATATATATATATACTTTTGTAGGGGTCAGAAATATATTACACTGTCAATTTTACACCACGCCTCTGCCATTTGTGTACAGGGAAATTAATGTGAGCCAAGTCTATCAAAATGCATGGGCCTGAAAGAGTTAGTATGAAATGGGTCCTAAAACAAGCACTTTCTGGAAACTGAAATAGGGGAGAAAAGTTGACGTTGGCAGGTCTTCTGAGCATGACTGCTCAGGTGCTGGTTGATTTCTGAAACACTGGATTAGCACCAACAAGTTTCATATACCTAAAGGTGTGAGAAATATAATATTTCATTAATATCACTGACAATATCTATATCGTGACTGATAACCTGTCCTACACTGAACTGAACTGCTCTCCTTGAACATGCTGAAAGAACCAACTTTTTTACTTTTCACTCACCACACAGTCCATACCACCGTTGTGAGAATCTGTTGCACAATGATAATAAACTAAGCTAATGTAACAAGTTCCATGATAAATATCTATCACGGAACAACGTTAGGAGTGACTCCTGGAACCTAACCTGGTACAGTGCCATTCAGCCATTCGTACACTACACGGCGTCAACATAATGTGATACCGGGATAGTTTTCAGCAGATATAATCAAACAAAGCAGAAATAAAGATGAAAACATTTTTTTTAAGCCGTAAAGACGTTATAAATATATTCTGCCTTATTGTGTGGAAGCTTATTATTACTTAATTAATTATTTAAATCAGAGTTTTTTTTTTTTTTTTTCAAATTCAATATACTGCAACTCTGAGAAAATTGTGGCGGCTATTTTAAAAAGATGCACCGTTTCCAATGAATACAACTTCATAAAAGCTGTGTCCTGCATGTGTGTGGAAACATTAGTGATAATGGTATGACGATAGATACAGCGCTCTT